TGCAAGGAATAAAATTGTAATATGAACATAATTATCCAAATTGGGATGACAAAATAGATGGTGACAGGGTAGGAAAAAACAACTAAATGTCCAATCAATACATATGAATAGGCGTCCCCAGGGCACATCTCCAAGTGGTAAAAGAGAAGGGTGGAAAAATCCAACTTTGCTTGAGATTGCAGCGTCAAGGGTTCGAATCCTGAAACATGGATTTGGCTCTTGGGTAAGTGCAAGTGTACAAGCAGCCTTCCACCATTTACCCTTGGAGGCATAACTGCGATTTACCTCCCTCACGATACTCCAGAACAGGGGCGATGGGGGACCCTTAAGGTTGGGGTTCAACATTTTTTTTTTTAATACATATGAATAGGCAACCTTGGAATTTAGGTAGACCTATAGAGCCACCACTATCGGGCCGCTCATCTCATTTCTAAAGTTGATTCCTAAAACTATTCAATCCTATTGAACCTAAGAAATGTAGCAGTTCAAATTTTTTTTCTACAGGCCTAACGTGGCAGTACATAGGAATGTTGGATGATGTTATAGTCTACTTTGTTTGTAGTTTGAACTCTATTAATTATGATACATACAATTTTATTTTTTTAAACTCATTTTTAATCAAAATTTTCTAATTAAATCACAAAATTTAATCACACTCCTTGTCTCAAAACCTCGAGTTTTCAATTTTGTGACGTGTCTTCATTTTAAAAGAGAACCAAAATGATATGAAAAAATGATTATCATCTCCCATTGTAGTGGTTTTAATCTTATCAAATGCATTATTTTAGTTCAAAAGCACCTGTGAAATATTTGAGTTGAGCATTAACTAAACAATTTAGTGACTACTTTTCAAATTTATAAGTGATTTAAAAAGACTAATAGTAGGGAATCCTAAATCATATGTGGATACCAACCGAGTAAAAAATTGCGAATATCCATTTGATCGCAAAAAACAAATTGTACTTAACTGAATTTACATAAATGCCCCTTATCAATTGATTGCTAAAAACAAATGGATTAGAATCGTACACATGCACGATCAGTGAACTATTTGGATCAAGGTGGAATATCATCCGTGAACTTCTTGATGAGGTTCATGTGGAGGAACAGACACTTGGGTGTATGGAATGCTTGGATAGTCTGCGTTCAAAAAAATTGACGTAACTTTTGTATATGGTGTCCATTTTGGGCCCATAATTCCATTCCGTTTTGACCGTTTGAATTCGTTTATTGGGTCAAAATGACATTTAAAGTTTTTTAGTTTATTATTTTTAGTATTTGTTATTCTCACTTTGTAGCCCAGCTCATTAAGAAACTATTAGCCCGATAGGTTATCTATTCTTTTCATATTTAAGACTCTTAAACGTCTCCTAGGGTTTTTTGGTCGTTCATAAAATAAAAAAAAAAACTTTTGTTTTTTGAGTTCAATCCATTTGAGTTGTTAGTATCTTGTGTTTTAGATTCGATCTACATTAATTCTTATCGACTCAAATGATTTAAAAAAAAGGGGACTCAAACAACCCCTTAATCTTTGTTACTTGTAGTAATTATTTCCAAAATTTTTCATTGAATTCTTATCTACAACTTTCCATTAATCAGTATATCTCATCCTTGATGGTGATTTTTGTGAAAATATTGTTTTTCGAAAAATTGAAATAAGTGAAAAATATTTTTTCATACTTTTTATTTTTATTTTTTAAATAGATGGGAAAATAAGTTGTTATATATTATGTAAATGGATTTTTGGACATAAATTATTCTTAAATACAAAATATGTTAACTAATAAAAAGTTCGAGGATAAGAATATCATGAAAAGTCGACATTGATATAATTGTTATAATGAGTAAAGATTGAACCTCAAATATAATTAAACTATAGTGCAAGGAACAAAAATGTGATGTGAACTAGAGGCGGACCCAGACCTTTAGTATTGTGGGGGTCAAAATTTTAAAAATAATTTTTTAAAAAAAAATGACATAATATCAATGAAAATAAGTTTATATGTATTTTGACATTTTGAAAACGTTGTATAATTACATCATTATTAATATTATTAAATAAATTTTGCTTTTTGTATCCTCTTGTTTATCATTTCATTGGCAAATGTTGAGCTAACATTGAGTAAATTAAATTGAATATAGAAATTAAATAAATTGAAATAAAATTCAACTTTAATTTAGGAAGTAAATGAAATTCAAATTTAAAGCAAATATAATTCGAAAGTAATACAAATTGCATTTAATCCATAATGACCCTAAAAAATTTACGTCATATTTCACGTAAGACTTCTGAATGAAACGATATAAATTATATTGAAAAATTTATCGTGCAAAAATAATAATTAATTGAATTTTTTTAAAAGAAAAAACGAGTTAGACGTCTTTTTTGAAACGTACGTTTGATACATATATTTAACTATTTTCGATATCCATTTGGACCATTCGATATGAAAACGATGTAATTTTCGAAACAAACTTTTACATGACAGACGATTTGTGGATTCAGATAGCACATGATCGCAAATGAATTTTTAAAGTTAGGATATTATCGAAATTTTTAAAATACTAATTTCAAACGCCCTACTTTAACATGTCACAACTTTTTTTATAGTTGACCACTTCGCATGACTTTAATGAGTGAAAAATTAGACCATGAGCACTTCGAAATGGTATTGAAAATGTAATATTTTGACTTCATTTGACATCCCGACGAGTACATCAAAATAGAGTGTAAAAAACAAAAAGGGGGAGGGGAATTTTGTGGGGTCATTTGACCCCACATGACCCCATGTGGGTCCGCCCTTGATGTGAACGTAATTATCTAAACTGAGACGACAAAGTAGATGGGGATAGGAGGGAAAAAAACAACAAACATGTCCAATCAATACATATGAATGGGCAACCTCGAAGTTAGGTAGACCTATTGAGCCACCTCGGTCGAGCCCCTGCGTCTTATTTCTAAAGTTGATTCCTCAAATTCTTCAATCCTCTATTTACTCCAAAATGGTGAATAGTGGTGGTTTGCATTATCGGCTGGCTTGAGCTATGGAGCTATTATATAATAGCTGAGTTTGAACCTAAGAAATGTAGCAGTTCAAATTTTTATCAACAGGCCTAACGTGAGAGTAAAAGGTTAAACCCTAATCTTAAGGGTCTCCCACCACACCTGCCCTGGAGTATCGTGAGGGAGGTAAATCGCAGGTTATGTCTCCAAGGGTATAGGGTGGAAGGCTGCTTGTACACTTGCACTTACCCAAAAGCCAAATCCATATTTCAGAATTCGAACCCTTGACACAGCAGCCTCAAGCAAAGTTGGATTTCTCCACCCTCCCCTTTTACCACTTGGAGATGTGCCCTGGGAGCGGCCTAACGTGAGAGTAGTACATAGGAATGGTGGATGAAATTATTGTCAGATATTCTTTTTAAAATTTGAACTCTATTAATTATGATACAATTAGTCATGTTTGGTTCCATTCTACAATTTCATTTTTTTAAAACTTATTTTTAATCACAATTTTTTAATCAAATCAAAAAATTTTAATCACGCTCATTGTCTCAAAACATCGAGTTTTCAATTATGTGGTATGACGTTATTTTAAAAGAAAACCAAAATGATATTAAAAAATGATTCTCACCACCTTCAGTTGTTGGGTTTTAATCTTTATCTAATGCATTATTTTAGTTCAAAAGCACCTGTGAAATTATTTGAGTTGAATAGTAACTAAACAACTTAGCGATTGTTTTTCAAATTTATAAGTGATCAATACAGATTAATAGTAGAGAATCCCAAAAAATATGTAGATACTAACAAAGTAGAAAATTACGAATAGTTGGTTAAAATTACAAATTATACTTGATTGAACGTTTTACCAACTGATTGCTAAAGACAAATTGTAAACTATATTTATATAAATGTCTTATCAATTGATTGCTAAAACCTAACCACGATTATTGTACTATTTGGATCAACGTGAAATATCATCCAGTAACTTCTTTTCAACTCAAATAGTTTAAAAAGTGTCACCAAAATTTTTAATTGATAATCTTTTCAGTGATGAATGAATGTCACTACTATATGACCAAAACGAAAGAGCGTTTTAGAACCAATAAGAAAAAAGGAAAAAAAAAAGTCAGTGTATCGTGCCTTAAATATCCGTCTTATCTATCCACTTAAACGCGAACTGCTCCTCATTCGTGAATCTAAGCGACGTATAACATAACCTTTTATATCGCATAATAAGAAATCATCAATAGAATTTTGATAGGATTGCCTCAATAATATAAACCAAATTTTGATTTAAAAGAACTCCGTTCAATTGCAAATGAAATTGCTCGCTTGAGACCATATCTATGGATTCCATTCGGAAATTGAAATTATCACTAATGACAATACCCAGAAAACAATTCTCTAGTTTGAAGTTTCTTCTATAAAGGCGTCATTCTAACTATTTAACTGTATTTTAAATGATGTACACATGAGTTTTTATTTATTTGTAACAATGAGCATTAATAGTCTGCATTTCGGCTAAAGTAGAAAAATATAATCCAATGACGCATCGTCAGACAAGTGTACGTGTCTATAAAAGAATCCTATACATATCCAAAAAAATAAATAAAAATAAATTGGCGCACTAGGATGATTGGAATATAATTATACAAATCGGGATGACAAGGAAGATGGGGACAGGAGAGGAAGAAAACAACAAATATGTCCAATCAATACCTAACACAATGCAGACCTGAATTAAAGTAGACTTATAAAGCCATCTCCACCAAGCCGCTGCGTCTCATTTCTAAAGTTGATTTCTCAAATTCTTCAATCCTATTTTGCTCCAAATTGGCGAATGGTGATGGTTTGCATCATCGGCTCCAAACTGAGTACAAAACGCAAATTGTATAGAATCGTACATGCAAGAACAGTGGACTATTTTCAACTTTAAATATCAGCCACACAATTCTTATCATCTGAAACCATTTAAAACACGTGCAAGTATTTGTGCATTCTATATATTCTACATTTCTTGAGAAGTTTCAGTAGCTTGAGTTTGAAGAAGAGATGCCTATAGTTGTGAGAATTCTGTCGTTGGGATGGGCTATCATGATGATTATGAGTATTGCAAATGTAGCAGATGGAGCAATTCCTAATGATTTGCTGGAAAAGATTTCTATAATAAACAAAGATGGTCCTTACTTGGGTATTGTAGTGCCCAACAGTTTTGAGATGAACCCTCTTCTCCAATCTTCAAGTTTTGTTCCTCATCCCATGCTTTCCTACTTGGATTTTGCAGGTTAGACAACTATTCACTTGAAATTTAATTTATTGCTTACTTTGATTTTGTGTAAGATGAACTATTCGGTACCGAACGCTATAAAAAAATGTTATAATCTTGTCAGAATGTTACATATAAAAAGTGTCCTTTTACATATTTTTTCAGAATGATATATGCTGTAGTATTTCGTTTTACCTATATTGAACATGAATATGGCTAGCAGCCTATTTTCAGGGGCGGATGGGTTTACAGGATCAAGTAGATTTTGGAAAAGAAAAAAAAATTTGTTTAGCTTTTTTTTTTAGAAAGTACCTTATATATTTTATTTGTGACCCCTATTGGGTCCACCCCTGCCTATGTTTTTAACTGCATTTAGAGTACTGGAAATATGTTTGCGTATACCTAAACAGATTATTGTTTATGAATTTCAAGTGAACGTGTAAAACTCCGAAGGGTATAGATCAAACTTAGCATGGCCTTTATAGTAATAAAACATTTGACTCTTTAGGCATTCCAGTAGATGCATCATTAAGAAAAAAAATATGATAAATTCCCTTTATAGTAACTATACACTCACTGTCAATGAGATAATTGTACTACATTTTAATTTTAATAAGATAAATCCACTTTAATTTAATTAAATATTGAAAACAATGTTTAGATACTGTTGTTGTCGATCTTCTTGTAATATGTTTCATTCTACCAAATCTTCAAGGAGACAACAAGAAATAGCATAATATCCAGTTTCAATATTCCAAAATCTTAGGCTTATTTTCTTCATCTTTTGCATCGAAACAGGAAGAAGATTTCGACTTGGAACTTTGGAAAGTCGAAAAGTTATAATTGTCATGTCCGGACTCAGCATGGTATATGTTCATTTTTGTAATACCCTACTTACAAGGAAAATTCAGTGATTTATTTCTTTCCATTTTTCAAAGGTACAAAATAATTAATTTAAATTATTATTTCGTAGCTTAATGCAGGCTTAGTAACACAGTTGCTGCTTAGTATATTCGAGATTGAAGGAGTAGTTCACTTTGGAATAGCAGGAAATGCAAATCCTAACTTACAAATAGGAGATGTTACTATCCCTCATTACTGGGCTCATTCAAGCCTTTGGAATTGGCAGGTATCCATTTTCTATAATCTTCTTTTATTTTCATTTTCAAAAATTGGTTTCCTTATAAAATGTATGGATGGTTTTTGATGTATTAGCAAAAGACGTTCTTCTATAATTATTTATTTACTTAATCCACAACAATCTCCATAATTTGCTTCAGATAAGCAGCCTCTAATAATTATCTCACTACGTAAAACCCATCGATTTAGATGCTCCGAAAACTATCAAAATAAGCTGAGAAAAGCACTATATCATTTTCACGTGTAGTGTATACTCACATATATTCCCATTAAATGACTTTGTTTAAATCCTTGCGCATTTTTTTGATCAGAGGTTTGGAGATGGGCCTGATGATGAACTTGCATTTGAATCTAATGGAGACTATACAAGAAAAATCGGTTATCTTAATTTCTCTCAATATGAAAATGGCACAAAAAATGGGAATTATTCAGACAACCTTCTCAACAATGTGTGGTATCAACCGGAAGAGATATTTTCCATTGATGGACAACCTGAGATTAGACAGCATGCCTTTTGGGTTCCTGTTGACAAGCTGTACTTTTCACTTGCAGA